AAACTCTTCTTTATCTTTCCAACAATAACAGTAACACCTTTAAAACTATCAAAATAGTTTTACCGTCTTTTCTTCAAAACCAACATCAAAACCCATAATATATAATCAACAGAATTTATAAGACTCCCAACTTATAATTAACGGTAGTTTAAAAACTCACAGTTTATACTCAACGGTAGTTTAAAACTCACTTAGATCCTCAAAAACAGAATCATAAACCAAACTGTTTAAAACATTAATCTGCATCCTTTTTACCCAGAAACATATTCGAAACAGTAACAGCTTATATGCTGTTCAAAACAGTATAACATCTTCGAAATCTAGATTCAATAGTTAAGCCACAAATACATAAAGAAATCAGTTTCAAAGCTACTTACCTTATCAAACAGATTTCTTGATGATGATCACACAACAAAAGCTTTATTCTTAACACGGAATCTTCAAAACACCTTAACTCACACACATGTTCTTTTCTAAAAGAATGATAGTGATAAGGATAACCTTATCCAAACTCTTCTTTAAATATCCTCACCTAGGCGGTGGAGGATTTTAATAATACAAAACTCATAGGCGGTGTAGCTTTGTCCAATAGAAATATTCTTTGGGCGGTGGATTTTGCATTATAAAATTTATGGTTTCTTAACCATGAAGATATAAGCTTTTAAATAATAAAATAATGTCCACCTAAATAATTTATCACAAATATGCACCACTTTATGTATGCTTCATACCACATGCATACATGCATAAATCATATATGTCATGACATCCTTTCACATATATGCATACACAATATCATGTTCGCATATATATAGTTCATGTATGCATATTTCACGTAATCCACATAGTAAGTATGTATAATTTACCTCAATCCAGGTTATGTGAAACCCGGTTATAACAAATAGATTGAGTGATTTATTTTAAAAAATTGAAATACTGATGAAATATTATCAACAAATATCTTATAAACATGCAAAAATCAAAAATTGTTATGATAATGAAATTTCATGCATAAAATAATGATTATGAACATAATTCATCGTCTTAAAAATAATATATTTTTCATTATTACAACATTGTAGAATCAGAAGGACTCGACACCATAAGATATGTTCGAAAAAAAACAAAAACAAATATGTAAAAACCGAATATTAAGGTACAAGCGAATATTTGAGATGATACATCAATCACCATCTTCAGAGAGATATTGTTAACTAGAAACCCTCAAGAACCACAGAGCGCCTCGAAAAGGAAATCGGGAATATTCATTATCATGTAATTCCCAAACTAATCAATAAGTGGAATGAGACACACTCAATTACAAAAAAACAACTAATTTCAACAACAAAATGTCACGTCTCGAAATGCGTCTCAATCTTTGTGGCAAAAACTCAAAGAAGATGACGTGATCCTTAAGGGTGCGTTTGGTACGCAGACAGGACAAGATGGAACAGAACAGAACAGATGTTCAGCGTTTGGTAAGACATGACAGAACTGGACATAACTGGTTAAAATGACCAATTTACCCCCAGTGAGTTGTTTAGTGTTTTTTCCACTAAATAATCAATATAAATGTTAACAAATACGGTGTGCAAAGAATAACTTACATCAAACCACTACTACTTGCAAAAATACATGATTTCATAATCAACTGATATAAGCATCAAGAATTTATTATCAAAGCAAATCAATATGCATTCCATATTAAGAAGAAAAAACTACTACCAACAAGCGGACAATCAGTTAAAATAGATTAAATATCAAATAGTAAATAAAATATAAGCATCAAGAAAACAATTTGGCTAGTGATCCCATATAGTATTATCACATTCACAAAACTTGGTTTCCAGAAAACAAAAGAATTCACCTATCACATGTATAGTCACTCATGTAAGATCAAAATCGAATATTTACTACTCTAATCAAGAGAAAACATCCAAAACTCATCGAAAACAACAAATTGCATGTGTGAACCTTACGCATACGTTTGACGGTGATAAAATCAAGAAAACAATTTATGTAATTTATTAAATTACAATAGAATAATTATTTTTTATAACAAAATATATCATTTGAAGTTTTTGTCAAAACAATTAAAATGACACCAAATAAAAAGTTTATGTGGTTTTCTATTTTTATTTTTATCTTTTTTCTACATTATTTTTTATTATTAATATATAATAAATTACATAAATTAATAAAGATATAGAAACCGTATAAAAATAATATTTTGAGGACAATAAAATGAAAGTTTAAAAAACATAAAATACAATAAATAAAATTTAAAGAATGAATAAAATATAAAAGAGAGATCTATTTGATGTTTTAGAAGAAAATTAAGTTTTATTTTGAGGTTATATTGGTAAAATATAAGTTTGTTCCATCTTGTTTCACCCTGTTCCATGGGATAGGGGTAGAACAGGCTTGTTCCACTCTGTTCCACATAAAATTCATGCCAAACATGAGACATGGATTCCTGTCCTGTCCTGTCCTTGTCCAGTATACCAAACACACCCTAACATCCTTTCCATCTTTCACATACCAGCAATCATACTAATGAACAAGTACAAGTTCAAATATAACTTTTGGGACAAACTCATCAATCTACTGCAAGTGGTTTGAGATATATGTGATAGAGTTTGCAATTTAAGAAAATGCACAGAACATATATACAATAATAGGTTTATGTTTTAACACTAAATTACACCACAAATGCCCTTAAAATAAACTCTCAAAACTTAGTCTATATTATAAATCATTTGACAAAAACTCTTGAAAACCATTTTTTATGCATATAATATTTTTTATTGATGCATATTACTTAAATTCAAGATTACAAGTGATTTTACGTAAGTACAACTTATTAAAGCTACAATTTAAATTCGTGTAACTAACTGCAGATAAACATAATCAAATACAAGATAAACATCTATTTTAAATATAGAAAATATAAAATATAATTAAAATAATCATTGAGTTTATAACATAATGTTTAATTATTATCTTTAATAAAAATTATATTATTAAACCAAAAATAAATTACTTTGTTATTAGACCTAAATTAAATTATAATAAAAAATTGAATTAAAGAAGTTACACCAAAAAAAATGAGAACTATTAAATAGTTAATTTGATACTAATATCGATTTTATTTTTTAAATTTTTTTATGTTATCTTCAAATTTATACTTAATTCAAAAATAAAAACATTATCGTTTTCTCAACACCACATAAAATCGTATTATATCGATAGAGACAAAGAATATAAACTGAACATTAAAATGAAGATTTATCTTATTACATTACGCGAGTATCCTTCTAGTTATTATCAAATACTTGAACAATATGGGTTGTGAATGCAAGGATGATTAACTGTATCATTTTTTTTTATTTTCTTAAAAAATATAAAATGTTTTCATGACTATTAAATGGTATTAATATCCTCAACAAATTTAATATCGTTTTTTCATGATAAAAAAATATCGAAATTTTAGATTTTTTTAAATTACAATAATTAATTTCTTAGTTTTAAATACTACAACATTGTTTATAATAAATTAGAAGGGTACTCGTACAATGTAACGAGATAAATCTTGATTTTAATGTTTAATTTTTATTTTCTATCTCTATTGATGCAATACGATTTTATGTGGTTTTGAGAAATTGATAATGTTTTTATTTTTGAATGAAATATAAATTTGAAGATAGCATTAAATTTTGAAAAAAAATCGATATTAGTATCAAGTTCTCGTTTCTTTGGTATAAGTTCTTTAATTCAATTTTTATTATAATTCAATTTAGATTTAATAACAAAATAATTTATTTTTGGTTTAATAATATAATATTTTATAAATATAATAATTAAATATTCTGTTAGAACTCAATGATTATCTTAATTATATTTTAGATTTTCTATGTTTAAAATAGATGTTTATCCTGTATTTGATTATGTTTATCTGTAGTTAGTTATACGAATTTAAAAATGGAGTTTTAATAAATTGTACTTACGTAAAATTACTTGAACTTTTGAATTTTAAGTAATATGCATTAATAAATAGTATTTCATTAAAAAAATAGTTTTTAAAAGTTTTTATCAAATGCTTTATAATATAGTATAAATGTTATAAGCATAAAACATTTTTCCTTAAACAAAGATGATTCATTTTAAGGTAGATTTGTTAATCCAATAAAATGAATCATATAAATATGATTTTCATAGTAATTTTCATCCATAGAAAGCATGAAATCATCGCAATAATATCTTGCAAACGTATGGAAATAATGCTTTTATTTTGTCGTCATAACGATGAAGGGGGCGCGTGGAAAGAAATGGGTGTGTTTGCTAAAACGTCACAATTGCCAAAGCAACTTACTCTCCCAATATATACTCCACTCTTCTCTACCATCATTTTCACTTTCTTTCTAGGGTTTTAACTCCTCTCTTCGCCTCTCCTGGCGTTATTTCGGTGAGATTTTTTTGTGTTATTTTTGCTGTGTTCTTGAAAACTCTTACCTTGTTTGATCACATCAACTGTTTCTTATTTGGGTTTTTTCTTTATACGTTGAAATCGGGTGCAATGTTGGTGTTTTTTTCAGGGTATTCTAGCTAATTTTACAAAAGAATTCGAGAGTTTCTTGTGAATGTTTACCCTGTTTTCCTCCTTCCCGAATCTATTTTGAAATATATTATATAATCTTGTTTTGGGGGTTTATTTTAAAGCCTCGGAATATGTGCAAAGTTGGTGTTTTTCTTTTGGGTATTTGAGCGAATTTTTGTAACGATCATGGGGTTTCCTTGTGAATCTTTGCCCTATTTAACTCTTTCATGAAGCGGTGTTCAATGGTAGTCTCCAAATTGGTCTTTTTGTTTCATTGTTTTGTTAAGATCGGTAAAATGTGGCTTGTTTTTGGGGATTTTCGGCTGCTTTTGTAATTTCTAGGGTTTCGTCGACCCTTTATTCGTGCTTACTCATATCCTTGTTCTTTGATTGTTGTGTTCTTAGGGTTTTGGCTGGTGATCTTGTTTTCTTAACAAGGGTTTCTCTAAGGTTCAGGTATAATGGGATTTAGCTATGTGGAGGATTAGTATTTTTGATCAACGAGTGTTGATTTCCTCATGCATGAATGTTATATGACTAGACGGGATTTTTACTAAAGTTTTATCTTTGAAGGATTTAGCGACCGTTTTTCAGTTCTGGGTTCTGCAATTTTTAGTTTATTCGAGTGTTGCTAAACAAAACCCTGTTCATAGAGGGAATTTTACAGCATCGAAAGGGGTTTTCAGATCTTGGGCCTTGTATTTCCTTTCTGGAAGATTTACTGGATTAGAAGTACATTTATGTTGTACTTGATCTTATAAAAGTACCAAGTAGTTAATTGGTTTATTTTGCTGCTACTTGTTGATCTTTGAAAGAGGGGGGGGGGGTTGTCTAGATCTATAGATCATACTTTATGTATGCCATCATTTCTTAAGGGTTTGGTGGTACAACTGTTCCAAGTACAATTTGCCATCATTTTTTGAATTCTAAAAAGGGGTTTTGCAGTTTTTATTTTTTTACCTTTGTTATGTGCATGTTTTCATTTTTACAGGAATTTGGTGGATTAGTAGTACGTTTTTATGTTCATGTTCTTAGTTCTATGGAAGTTCCAAACGTATTCTAGTTTATTTTGCCATTGTCTCTTGATTTATATAGTCTTATGCTGTTTTATCCTTTTTTTGGAGGAAATTGGTGGACTTATCAGAAGTATATTTACATTTATGTTTGGTTTTAAAAGAAACATCAAGCATTTACTGGTTTATATTGTGCTTTCTGTTGATTTTCAAAAGGGTTTGTGAATTTTGGGTTAAGACCATGTGATTCCTTTCGAAACCAATGCAAAAATCCGGTTGTTGGGTCTTCAAATTGAATGGCAATAATGCCGTGTAAATCTTCAATCGGCAAAAGCCTAGACCCACAGATTTGGTGATCATTTTCATATAGCCCACAAATTTAGTGTCTTTAGAGTGTGGTTGGAGTTTAAATGTTTATTATTTTTAGTGTTTTTGGTGTTCTTTTTGGCGTCAAGGTTGGTGATGCTCTTAGAAGTACGTTTATATTGATTTCTTGGTTATACAAAAATACCAAACATTTTTCGCTTATTCTCCTGTTATTTGTTGCTTGTATTGAAGGGTGTTAGATATGGCTTATTTAGTTTGGGCTTAGCATTTTTGCAGGAATTTGGGCTATTAGAACTTGATGGACATTTTTTCTGTTTTGGAGTTAAAGTTCCATCATGTCTTCTTGAATCAAGTTTAAGATTTTTTTATTAACCACTCTCAAAATTTGGTGTTCTATGTCTGGTTTTGACTTCTTAAAAAATGAAAAGGAAAAAACAGAAAGCAAAAGCCTTTGAATTGGAACTGCTTTTGTTTGAGGTTTTTGTGTTATACCAAATGTTTTTATTATTCAGTTTCGAATCATGTAGTTTCATAAAAAGTATTGCAATTTTGATGACCCTGATCCAAATTCTGAATTGTTAATTCTTAGTTGAATTATCTTCGATTATGTTGAATTGCAATTTAGATTTCTAAATTGTGCTGGTGTTTTCATTTTCTAGGATTCGAATATGGATTCACATGAAAACGGCAGTAATGTGGTAACAGACGATGCTCTGCCGCCTCCTCCACCGGTTCCTCAAGATGTTGTTCCGATCAAAGCAGAGATTGAAAAGAAAAAGGTCATGAGGGTCCCCATGGCCAGACGGGGCTTGGCTACCAAAGGGAATAAAGTCCAGCTCTTGACCAATCACTTTAAAGTGAATGTCTCTAATGTTGATGGACACTTCTTTCACTACAGTGTATGCTCCTCATTCTTTAATAAGTGTTAAATGGAGTTAAGAAAAGTTGATGAATATTTTCTTGGTTTGAGGATTCTTTTAAGCTGTAATTTTACCCAACAGGTTGCCCTTTTCTATGAGGATGGTCGTCCTTTAGATGGAAAGGGTGTAGGACGGAAAGTGCTTGATAGAGTTCATGAAACCTATGACTCTGAACTAGCTGGAAAAGAATTCGCATATGATGGAGAGAAGAGCTTGTTTACTGTTGGTGCACTTCCAAGAAACAAACTTGAGTTCACTGTTGTTCTTGAGAATGTCACTTCAAATAGGTATGTAGTGCATAAATTTATGGTTCCACGATAAATAATTGGTTCAACTCTTATGAATTTTGAACTTTTAGAAACAATGGAAATGCAAGCCCGCCTCATGGGAGTCCTAATGACACAGACAAGAAAAGGATTCGCCGTTCATATCAATCCAAAACTTTTAAAGTGGAGTTGAGTTTTGCAGCTAAAATACCGATGCAGGCAATTGCACAGGCATTACGAGGTCAGGAATCAGAGAACTCTCAAGAAGCCTTAAGGGTGCTTGACATCATCTTAAGGCAACATGCAGCAAAACAGTAAGTTGCAAAGTTTGATTTGGCACATTGTTCAACTGTTCGAATGTTTGTATAATATTTAGAATACCAGCTAATAAAAACTAACAAAGGAATCTTGTTGGCCTAAATCAGTGCATACATTCAACTTATATCTAATGATGTTGATGAGCAATAAGTAATTATAACCTGGAAAAGAAAGTGTTGCAGTTTTTGTGAGACATGTGAAGATATTTGATTCGATCATCTAAGTTTTTCCAAAATCTCTAACCTAACACCAGGGGCTGCCTGCTTGTTCGTCAATCGTTCTTCCACAACGATGTGAAGAATTTTGCTGATGTAGGAGGTGGTGTTCTTGGATGTCGAGGATTCCATTCTAGTTTCCGTACATCTCAGGGTGGTCTATCCCTTAACATTGGTAAAGTTTGACAAACTGCTCCACTTTTACACACGTTAATTATAATCTAAGCTGTGATTGCTCAGTAATCGTGCATTACAATTACCAGATGTATCTACTACCATGATCATCCAACCTGGGCCAGTGGTCGATTTTCTTATTGCCAACCAAAATGTGAAAGATCCCTATTCAGTTGACTGGGCAAAGGTAATGACCAGTTCCAGTATCATTTCTCGATGTGCTGTATTGCATTTTCTCACTTTAAGTTTGTCCAATGTCATCAGGCGAAGCGCACCCTAAAGAACCTTAGGGTGAAGACGAGCCCGACTAATACCGAGTATAAGATAACTGGTTTGAGTGAGAAGCCCTGCAACGAGCAGCTGTATGTTTTTCCCTTTCTGTGTGTATTATTTGGTGGTGCAAAAACATGATAGCAAGTGCACTTTTTGTAGGTTCTCGTTGAGGCAAAAGTCCAAAGATGACAGTGGTAAATTCGAGACACTGGAAATTACTGTTTATGATTACTTTGTGAATTATCGCAAAATTGAGCTGCGTTATTCTGGTGATCTGCCATGCATCAATGTTGGGAAGCCAAAAAAGCCAACTTTCTTCCCCATCGAGGTAGAACAATGGGACTTCATTCGGTTGAGAGTGATGGTTGTTTTTTTTCTTCCTGAATCTGTTCTTACCATGGTCGGTTACTTGTAGCTTTGTTCTTTGGTCTCGTTACAACGTTATACTAAAGCACTCAATACGCTTCAACGATCCTCTTTGGTGGAGAAATCACGACAAAAGCCACAAGAAAGAATGAGGGTTCTGAGCGATGTATTGCTTCTAAACTTATAAGTAGTTTTTATCCAATTGTGAAGGTGAGATTCTTAATCTTGCTCTGTGTATTGTTTCTTCAGGCACTAAAACTTAATAATTATGATGCTGAGCCATTGTTGAAATCTTGTGGCATTTCAATAAACAACAACTTCACACAAGTTGAGGGGCGTGTTCTTCCAGCACCGAGGGTACATTTTTTAATTGGTTTGACAGATTGTATATTTTAATTTTTGTTTATGCTTAGTTTGATGTATGTTTTCACAGTTAAAAGTGGGGAACGGCGAAGACTTCTTCCCAAGGAATGGTCGGTGGAATTTTAATAACAAGGTGCTTATGTTGGTTCTTCTTTAATATTTTCGTAATCTTGCTAAAAATCCCTCGTGACTTATGAAAAAGGTTTCCATTTGATCATTTAGAAACTTGTGGACCCCACGAAAATCGAACGATGGGCAGTTGTTAACTTCTCAGCTCGATGTGACATCCGCAATCTTGTGAGGGATTTGATCAAGTGTGGAGGCTTGAAGGGAATTGTATGTTGTGATTTTTTTTTTTTTGATCTCTTGCTTTACATCTTTTTTGTTTGTTCAATGAATACCTTTGAAATAACTGTCATGTTACCTTCCTCCATTGTGTAGAAAATTGACGAGCCTTTTGATGTATTCGAGGAAAGTCCTCAAAATAGGAGGGCCCCACCGCTGGTTAGAGTTGAGAAAATGTTTGAAAATATACAGTCAAAACTTCCTGGCGCCCCGCAGTTTTTACTTTGCTTGTTACCGGAGAGGAAGAACTCGGATCTTTATGGTCTGCTACTTTTTATGCAAATTTTTGATATTTACTTTTAAATTGCTTTGGAATTCGACAATTTCATATTTGTTAAAGCCGTCTTCCACATGGCAACAGTAAGAATCTTGACAAAATGTTCTTTGAAGGTCCTTGGAAGAGGAAGAATCTTGCAGAATATGGAATCGTGACTCAATGCATTGCACCCATGAGAGTGAACGACCAGTATCTAACAAATGTTCTTCTTAAGATCAATGCCAAGGTGAGTTCATGTTCTCAAGATTAACACCCATGAAAATAAATTCAGATTTGAAACCTTTTTTGCGTGCATGCAGCTTGGAGGACTGAACTCTATGTTAGCCGTTGAGCATTCGCCTTCTATCCCACTTGTATCCAAGGCTCCCACAATAATTCTTGGAATGGATGTCTCACATGGGTCGCCGGGCCAATCTGATATCCCCTCTATTGCTGCGGTAACTTTTGACGGTCAAATATGTTTTTTTTAATTAAAATGGAGAATCGTAACATGGCTACAATGATGATGCATACACAGGTTGTTAGCTCGCGACATTGGCCATTGATCTCACGTTATAGAGCTTCTGTGCGTGCTCAGTCTCCAAAAGTGGAGATGATAGACAACCTGTTTAAGAAAGTTTCGGATACCGAGGACGAAGGGATAATGAGGTGGAATTCCCATCTCTTGTTAGAAGAAGATACAAGTTTATGATGTGATTATGTTGTGTTGACAAATAAATATATGGTTTCTTGCAGGGAGCTTCTCCTTGACTTTTATGTGAGCTCAGCTAAACGAAAGCCAGACCAGATTATTATCTTCAGGTAACTTACCAAAGGGTCATGGGCCCAGATATTTATATATGGCTGAAGTTAAATATTTGTGTTATGTTGGTTTGTAGGGATGGTGTGAGTGAATCTCAGTTCAACCAAGTCCTAAACATCGAATTGGACCAAATTATCGAGGTTTGTTTACTCATTTTCTTGCACAAGATGGGACTTTTCTTTATTTAATTTTTATAAATTGACGCAGGCTTGCAAGTTTCTTGATGAGAAGTGGTGCCCGAAATTTCTTGTGATAATTGCTCAAAAGAATCACCATACCAAGTTTTTCCAGCCAGGATCTCCAGATAACGTGCAACCTGGTACATAGAGAAACGATTTAAACGGAGCTTCTGTTGTGGTTTTAAACATATGACATTGTTTGTTTTGTGTTAAACAGGAACGGTGATTGATAACAAGGTTTGTCATCCTCGTAACAATGATTTCTACATGTGTGCACATGCTGGGATGATAGTAAGTGTCGAAAACAACTTCCCCTCCGTTCTATATTTATCGATTTTATTAAGTTTGGAACTGAAAAGAAATGTATAACAGGGGACGACAAGGCCCACACATTACCATATTCTCTATGACGAGATTGGGTTCTCGGCTGATGATCTCCAGGAGCTTGTGCACTCTCTCTCCTATGTGTACGTTGCTGCTCGCTTTTCTTTTTCTTTCTTTGTGAAGTTTATGGAATCTAAATTTCTGTATTTTGAATTATTATTTACAGATACCAGAGAAGCACGACCGCCATTTCTGTTGGTACGTAGTTGTAACTTTTTGGCAAATTTCTTTTTGCAGTGTTATGATTATTTTAAATGTTTGTTTGTTTGTGGTGTTGCAGTGGCTCCAATTTGCTATGCTCATTTAGCAGCTACTCAGGTGTCTCAATTCATCAAGTATGAAGACCATTCTGAGACATCCTCGAGCCATGGTGGTACCGGGGTTACATCGGCTGGTGCTGTGCCGTTTGTTCAGCTGCCGAAACTGCAGGAGAATGTGTGCAACTCCATGTTCTTCTGTTAAATGGCCTTTCAGTTTGTGCATAGGTTTCCTCACTTTCCTTCCTCTTCCTATATGATGCGATGAACTTGTTAGGATTTGTGGATGGATGGATGATGGTTTTGTGAATGTTTAGGATGTCTGTTTGTTTGGTTGGATCTATCCTAGCTAAATGAATGCTTATCGTGCTTTGTTTTGTGATGATGTCATTGTTGCTGGTAGTAGTTGAAGTAAGATAAAAGTATCAACCATTAAAAATAATCTAATGTTGAAACCAAATGCTTTATCCGAATGGTTAGATATCTAAGATCACAACAACCAATAACTTGATTAAGGGGTTGTTTACCCAATTGCTTGCCGGGTAAGCGTTTATAGATACGAGTAAACACTATGATCTTTTTTGGTGTGTAAGATTTTAGTATATCAAAACATATTGAATGCAACAATTTATTGGGTAAACGCTTGTTTGGGTAAGGGTCGTCATCCTTACTTGTCGGGCAAGACTTTTCATTTTCATTTGGTTTTAGTCCGTTTTCAGTCGCATGATCTTTGTTTTGGAGACAAGTTCTAGATTTGATCTTCGTTCTAGAGATGAGTTCCAGAATCGTCAAACCTCACAGCCTCTATGTAACACCCTGTCTTGTGTGGTTGGAGGATGGTGTGTTACGAAGGAAAACATAACAAGATAAATAGCTAGCATACACTAGAAAAACCAGAGCTACTATGAATAATCATCAAAATAAAGGTGTGATAGACTAAAAGTTAAGCCGACATGAATATAATTATGATATATATAGAAACAAAAACTACTATACTATCTAAGGTCGTCTTCAAAATAGTCATATTCCATCGTTTTCAGTCCCGTGATAATCCCATTTATGATCTTGTACCTACCGAGGACAAAACAAGCCTCGGCCGAGCCAAATGCTCAGTGAGCGAATAATTAAAATAACAAGATCGCAAGTATATAATCGGGTTAATAAAAGATAATAGTTATAAGGAATCCGAAAACCGAAACATATAGTGATCGATTAATAGTTGACATGAAATGTCCATACTGAAAGAAGTAAAATAATATCATCAAGTCAATAATTGAGAATAAATAAGAAAATTATGATTAGGTTCGAGGGTTGTATTGATCACTCGAACAATGGAAAATGAGTGTAGGGCAATACACTCAGTTCTCTTCCGATAATCGGCTCCTGAAAACAGTACGACTCTCAATAACGGTTCCTATAATCGACCCATTCACCTTCAAATTGGCCGGTACCAGGTCAAACCCACTTATTGACGTTGGGGTATAATAGCGAAGACGTCATGATAATTTATAGTCGCCATGGAGGCGTCACAATATCATTGCCCTCGATGTCGTGCCTTAAAGCACAAAATGCTCAAATTATCAAAAAACATGTCGATTCAATGTGAAAAGGGTAATCCCACAAAATATGAAACTATTAACTACTACATGTCAAAATAGAATTCTGAAAACGATTCAAATCCGATAAAGGTTCAATACTAAAAGAATCAAATTCAAAAGTGGTTCAACTCAAGTAGTCAACAATGGTCATATCAAAGACAAAACACTACTAATAGCTTTAAATAAGATTTATGTTCATTGACATATCGGACACCAATAGTTAAAGGAGCTATCAAACTCAAAATGTCCCAATTTGATTTCATGAAATGAAAATAAGAAACTATAATTATATATAAGTGTTAGATGCCGAGATGGTAATGAGATACGATATTATCTCTATAAGGGACTAGTGATTAAGAAAACTCACAAGAATCGGATATCTGTACCTTAGACGGTAATCGATGTAGTAAGCATGTAGCTCTTATCCCTTGTTAATGCTCCTTTCTTATTCTAAGATTGGTCGTGAATAAGTTTACACATGATTGTGACTGATTGGTACAAGATCTACGGGTGTTAGAATCCTTAAAGCACAACGTACAAGCAAAAATAATGCTACTAAATCCCCTACACCTGACATCTTTGAACCAACTTGATTTTGATTATTTTTATCATACTTAGAGATGCATTCAGGTATTAATGTCTGACAAAAGTTGGAAGCCTATTACTTAGGGTTCCTATATATTTGGATTCATTCCATTTGGATCAAAAACCTATTTTATATGAATTTTCTAAAAACAATGTGCAAATCCCCTTTTTGCACAGACCAGATACAAAAACTACTGTTTTGAGCATTATGGAAGAAAATCAGGTCTGGACATAAACTACAAAGTTATAGTAGACACATATACTTTTCCAACAATATATGGCACACCTCAATCAGATCAACTAGTGATTTTTATATGAATTATTAAACAACTAGAAGTACTATGATTCTTATGCACAACTCAAAACAGTCCCTTTTATATAAATTTGACACTAAAACCATCAAGAATCAACTATCTAGCTTTACCATATTGAAAATAAATGATTAAAACTTAATTTTTAACTTCTTTAACTAACAATAACATAAAAATAATATCATTTAACAAAGGTTTAACTTACTAATCAAAACCTTATGAACCCTAACATGAACCTTCCCAACTTTAATACAAATCAACAATTTAGACCACAAACTTTAAATTTATAGATTCATACCTTGATTTTTTACATTCTCTTCAATTGATTAGCTTCAAATTTTCAAAATATCACCAAATTACTAGATGCATGAGAAGGTTATAAACAAATTTAGGGTTTATGTGAAGAGATAATTTTAGGTCTAGAGAGAGAAATATAAGATGCAAATGAGGGCTATTTGACTGAAATTAAGGGGTTTAAATAGTTAGTATAACAATTCCCACTTATCAAATATAACCCCTCATCAATTGCCTAATTCAATATTAGTCTCAACATGGATTTTTCTTAACATTTCTAGTCCTAAGACCAACTTATTTTCTACATAGTTGACCCTTTACAAAACAATTAGACTTACATGTCTGACGCAGAGGTCTGATACAAGACATGTCTGTCTTAGCCTTATGGGATGCTCTTTTGAGTTTTCCCATTTCGCAAGCGGGACATAGATGGTCCTTCTCGAACTTCATAACTGGTAGTCCGTCAACCAATTTGTTTTTCACAAGCTTTTCTATATTTGGAAAATTTAAATGAGACAACCTGTGATGCCAGTGCCATGCTTCTTCACATTTACGAGATATGAGACAGAGAGTCTCTGAGTTATCTTTAGGTAAGAAGTTCTTAAGGTACAGATTACCCTTACGATTGTCTCTTAGCAACTCTTGACCTGATTTTGACAATATTAAACAAGATTCCTTCTGGAACTTGACGTTATAGCCAGAATCAGAGTTGAATTATGCTCAGAAGGTTATGCTCATAAGCAACTCTTGAGACAGAAGCCTTACCTTGATGAAGATCACCGTAGCATTTGATTTGCCCTTGCATATTATCCCCGAAAGTCACCCTTCCTCCAGTTTTGTCTTTGAATGAGGAGAACAACTTTTTGTTGCTGGGAATGTGTCTTGAGCATGCGGAGTCAAGGTACCAGATGTCTAATGCGGCTTCTTCAAAACAAATTATAGGGATTTAGGTACCCATTTCATGATGGGTCCTCGATGATTAGACTTTGGAGTCTCGACTTTTGGTTTTGGGGAAGGGTCTGCCTCAGCACCTGCTTTTCCAGACTTGATGTCTGGCTTGCTAGTTTTGGCCTTAGGACTCCGCTTCTTCTGGGTCTTTTTAGAGTTAGATGACCCAGAAAGAATGCATTTGGGACTAGAAAGATGATGCTTTAATTGTCGCAGCAGAGAAAGACATTTGCAAGTATGAACACATTTTTTATGGCAAAAAGATTCATTAGATTCATAAAACTTTCTATTACTACAATCGTTCATAGCATTGTTTGTTCTAATGAACTCTCTATCTATATTCCATTGTTTATTGAAATTGGTCTTTTATCTTCTTTGGCTTGCCTTTCTTCCCTTTAACTCCTTTGGCCTTCAGAGGCCTCTCCGAAATAGAGGAATTGAATTTAGAATTATAAGTAAACTTTCCTTTCTGTTTCGGAGTGAACTCTATTGGCTTTTGAAATCTAGACTTTGGAAATCTAGTTGCAGATGTGGTAGATTTGGGTTCCTTAGCGTTGCTTTTCTTCTCAAGCTCAAGAGAAGACTTGGCTTTTAAACACATGTCCACGAAGTCACGACATATGGGAATCTTTTTCCTCTGCTTTATTGCTGAAACATATTTATTTGAGATTCCACTTAGAAGTTTGTGAACTTCTGGTCTTGGCTTTACTATCCCCAGCTCAATCTGCTCTGCACTCGAGTCTACCTCTGATTCAGAGTCAGAGTCAAGAAAATCTCTTTGTGGATTTTGAGTGGTGGAGGTTTCATTGAGATCATGAGATCTTCGTAGACAAGTATCAACGCCTTTGTCCTTCTGTTGCGTCGATGAGGAACTTGCAAAAGTTTATGTGGAATTATTCCTTGGATTGTTTAAATGAGATACAGAGGTTTCATTGAGATCATGAGATTTTTGTAGACAAGTATCAATGCCTTCGTCCTTCTGTTTCCTCGATGAGGAACTTGCAAAAGTTTCTGTGGAATTATTACCTGGATTGTTTAAATAAGATACAAAGGGATGATTCAAGACCTCGAGCAGATCTTGCTCAAAAACTTGTCTCATCTTCTCTGTGAATTTATCCATCAACTTTGGATCCAGAGTTTTGAAAAGATCATCTTTTGATGCACTCTTGGTCGCTTCTGGTTCAATTTTGATTTCAACATCATTTGATTTTAAAGGTTCAGGATTGTGAGTACCAAAACTAAATTTTTTTTGTCTTCTGTATGCCGTTTAAATCAACTGGAGACAAACTTTTAGAAAAATAAGAGATGTTTTCAAACTTGAGCTTTCTTGCTCTGGCCCCACATTCAAGTTTGACTCTTTTAAATGGTGATGTTTTAAGCAGAACCGGAATATCAGGTTTCAAGGCTAAAGAGTTTAATCTATCACGTTCTTTTTCTATTATTTCCTTGTCTTTCTTTTGTATAGCCCTTTTCAGCTCTGAGTACTCTGTTTTTAAATTGTTCTCTGTGGAGAGTTTGATTTTAAAAATTTTATCTTTCTCCACAGAAAGCTCCTCTTTTTCTACAGACAAAATTTCTGTTTCACGTTCAAAGAAATTCTTTTCCTTTTCCAAAGCTTTTCTTTTTGCTTTTTTGTCAGAGTTTTTT